TCTGTCTCTTTCTCGCTTTCTCTGTTTTGTGATTTATGCGTTCTTTCGACCACGCCTACTTTCTACTCACTCCCTCATTCACTCACTCACTATCTATCTATATTAGTGTGTTCTTTCCTATCTATCATATATTTATTTATATATATATATATATATATATATATATATATATATATATATATAATCAGGCTTAAACACTAATATTCCATGGTCATAATTTATTCCATTGGAATCGTAAATACGGTCCAATTTATCAGACCTACAAATTCAAAAAGAAAACAGAAAAAACAACTCCGGGAATAAAAAATAGAATTTAGAGAGAGTGTAAGTATGAGAGTGTGGGACGAATGTTAGAGCTATAGAGAGGGGTAACAGAGGAGAGAAGGTGGGGGGATTAAAATTTAACAGAGAGAAGTTTTAGAGAGGGGTGTCAAGGACGGTTTAAGTGAGAGAAATATGAATATTCTCGGATGTCTAATACATTAAAGATGTAACTGGAAAGGGTACATTTTGTGGAGACATACACACACAATAGACGATCTAATCTTAAAGATCAGAAGAAGAGGGAGGGAGAGGAAAAGAAAAGAAAAAGGGGTGGGGGAGAGAGAATATTATCTCTCTATATATATATATATTGGCAGCAGACTTTATTTTAAACAAATTTCATTGAATGCGACAGACAAATAAAAAATTTTTTTTATTTTCTTACAGTTTTCTTTAGGGAATTTACGAACTGTCAGGTTATTGACTCAGGCGCTATCGGTTAATTTTCTGTTGTTAATTTGTTTTTTTTTTTTTTTTTTGTATTTGTTTTTTTGTTAAGCATTTCACCCCGAGCAAAGCGGGAGTGTCACTAGCACGCAAGGGATTACAGAGAGTGAGAGCAAGATAGCGAAAGGATAAAGAGAAGGACAGGGATCAAGGTCAAGGCATCAGAAGATGTCGACTGACATTACATTTGAATATTTGAAGACTATAACTGTCAAAGAAGCAAGTAAGAGGAAGGGAGTTTCACAGACGGGAATTGCGAGACATGAAGCTATTGGAGTAGAAAAGATGGCTACATTTAACCGTTTCGACAGTGAAAGGGTGACACTGAGATGCCAACCTAGTAGCATGTTTAAATTCATGCAGTTTGGGAACCAGTGAAAATGGCTCATCGAAGCAGTTAGCGTGAAAGTTCTTGTAGAAAAGAGGAAAGAGATGGCACGTCTGTGAGAAAGTGACTGTAGACGAGATACAAGGACAAAACAACATTGCATATTCGTCCCATGATTTTGCCATTGACCCTGAGACTAAAAATGGGGTCTCCAGACCATATTTGGCAGCAGCTTTTCCATGTTCTTGTTAGTAATCTTAGGATACCGTATGAATTAGATGAGATGATCACCAACAGATTTGAATTATCACTGATGCTTTACCTTAAACTGTCGACAGTTAAATATTATAATCTAATTATTATTTATTTTTTCTTATATTTTTTAATTATTTTTTAATTTATTTAATTTTAATTATATATATTGTTATGATGTTGATTTGGGGTTAGTAGAGACAAACGCCAAATAACACGTAACAATAAAAAGGGTTTTAATAGGTTGGTAAAAAGGTACAGAAATCGCCTGAGTTGTCAATAACTAGCTCAGCTAAGAACTTCTCTGTCTATCTGTCTTGGTATTTATCGATCCACCCACCAGAACCGAATATGGCACAAGGCCGGTTTTAATGTGGGTATTCCCGAGCCCGTAGGCTCGGCTAAAAATATAGCCCTTGAACCCGCCTAGACGGGTTCAGGCCCTGTCTACCTCCCCGGACGAAACCTTGCCCTTCGGCAAAGCTTCGTCCGGGTTCCTCTCTGCTAATGCAGAGAGTTCGACAGACGTCGCTTACAGTCAAAGACTGTATCACGACTCAGATAGACATGCCACTATTTAAAGTCTTTGTTCGCAAACAAGTTCTTCTTCAAGAGGGGTGGTAGGACACAACACACACACACATATATATATATATATATATATATATATATATATATATATATATATATATATATATATATTGAAATAATGCACAAGAATGCTATATTTATTAAAAGAGAAAATAACTTAACCAGACGAAAAATTCTTCTGAGTGTAATTATCGATTCTTGCCAAAATGTTAACTTACGTCCGGGATTTTATCAAATACCTCCTTTCTTAAACGAAAAATTTGTTTCAAAAGCTAACATAAATAACTATATATTTACGATTCCAATGGAATAAATTATGACCATGGAATATAAGCCTTTTTATTATATCCTTACTCTGTCCGGGACATTGAGTTCTACCTGGATTCTATCCTCTTGAATTTATTTTTTATACAAATATATATGCATGTGCATGTATGTATGTATATATATTTATATATTTTAGATATATGGTTGCATATGTATGTGTATATTTACCACTAATATTATATATATATATATATATATATATATATATATATATATATATATATATATAGTGTGTATTTAGGCAGCATTTTTCATTCATATATGTTTCATTAAATGATATAGACAAGTGTTGTCTATTTATTTTATGTAAATTCTTTTCATAACGTCTTATAAGCTTAATAACATTATCATTAAACGAAGAAAGAAAATCACAATATTGATACATATTTTTTAATCCAATTTAAGCTTTCGGCTTACATAAGACATTATCAAAGATGACAATTACAGTACAATATATTAAGCAATACACGGACAAGAATGTGATGATAGTCTGTTTCTGTTTACATGGATGATTTCCAAGCAACGATAAACACTTGAGTTCTTGAAGCTATATACATAAAACAGTTGAAACCTAACCTAAACAAAATAAACTATGAAAACTCCACAAATATTCTTAAATGTCTATAATTGGTAACAGAAGCAATTGGTTTATACCAACGGCTTCCCATACTTAATACTTCTCGAATTCACTCTCGCTTGGTCATGTGTGACGTCATGAGCTGTGGTGCGATTTTCGCTTCCAGCGTCTTATATGCACGTGTTTATAAATAGACAACACTTGTCTATATTGTTTAATGAAACATGTATGAATATATATATATATATATATATATATATATATAAATAAATAATTCATAGAGTCTAGAAGAAACCTCAACAGAAAGCACTGGACGGCCGTTTCGTCCTATATTTGCGCATCCACTACCGAGAATTGAAACGCGGACAGTAACTTTATCAGGCCAACGTCATGCCAACTGTTCTAACGGGGCTTGGTGACGATAAGGTAGCGAATCAGACTCGATATAGCGCCGCTCGATCACACATTCCGTGGTGGAACTCACCCGATTTTCTCTTTTAATCATAGGACTGTGATCCTACGAGCCACGGCTACTATCCCCAAGTCGCTCAGTCCAGAGCATTAGAAGCCGGTTCAAGCAAGGATATACATATATAATTCTCGCTAGTGTATGCCCACTGCTGATGAGTCCCAAACAGGACGAAACGGCCGTCCAGTGCTTTCTGCATTCTGCAGAGGTTTCTTCTAGACTCTATTAATTACTTAATTATAATTATCTCAAATCCTCCTAATTTCTATCATATATATATATATATATATACATATATGTGTGTGTATGTGTGTGTGCATTTTGGGCAGAAATCCTTCTTTCATGCACATTTCATTGAATACGACAAAAAAGGTACTTTGATTTAGTTTTTTATAGAATTTCTAATGTGATATAATAATTTTTTTGCTCTTCGGATGATAAATTATGTAAAAATTATCTAATTGTTCTTTATATCCAAACGCTTTCGGCTATACATTTATCCATTGTCAAGGTTGAAATATATTACTTGTTAACAAGAAATAGTTTGTTGTATGAATGTATTTGTATAATGTTTTCATTTTCAAAACACGGTCAAGATATTGTGTCCATGTTCATAGTTGATATTATTGGATGTTGTTTTTTTTTTGTTTTTATTAATAAAGCTTCCATTATTTTTAGCGTTTTTTTTTTGTTTTTTTTTTTTGCATGTAGATGATGCTATTATATTTGCGTTGTCAACATGTATGTTACGAATAGTGTCCGGTAGGTCTCCATGAATATTTAGATGTGATCTAATTGAGCTATGGTCAGAACATACAACACACTATTTCTTCGCAGTTAATATATTTCAACGTTGAAAATGGCAAGATATATGGCCGAAAGCGCTCGGATAAAAAGAAAAATGATGAGGCAAATAGAATATAAGAGTTCTTGGATTTTAAAACAATCATATCGCGTTCTTGATTTTGGCCAAAAATCCAAAGTACATATGGCCAAGTTATACGTACAATTTATTCAAATATTCGTTACTTGATACGAGAAGAAAAAATACTGAAAAATGAAAAAAAGCTGTCGAATCCTCCTCGCCACTGTTATGTCTTCATTCCATCGAATGAAGATAGCGCACTCATAAAATATAATGTCGCTTAGAGTCGTCGTAGTCTTACTGAATTCTGTCGTAAGGATATAAGGCTCTGTCCCGGCTAGCTCACAGCTGACAATTCCCGATGTCAGTATATATATGCTATTGGGACGAGTTCAAATAATATTCTGGAGAAGTGTGCTCATCTCCACAGCACCCACCACCATTTTTTAGATATTCACTTTCTTTAATTCATACTTTTTTTAGTCATAGGCCCACTTCTGACTTCTCAGTCGGATTACGTTTTCGCTTAGCCTGGCGTTATATTGTGGTGGCACGGAGCAAGCGAAGGACCGGATGTTAACCCTCAGAGGTCTAAATAGCAAATGACCAATACTGGTCTTTGCGCACCCGGCTCCACGCAGAATTTCCGGGGGAAAATAAAAAGAAATAAAAAGAATAATAAGCAATTTCCACCAATAAAACGGCTCCGCACCATACCCAACAGTTTGCTTCAGCAGACTGACTCTGAGCCGATGGGCACAAATAAATAGAGCGATAAATTCACTTCTGTAGAGAGAAAGCTTTGAAGTACCGTCAGAGAATGTCGCTACGCTTTCCTCTCCCATCAAACTCGACGCCTCCAGCCTTCCTTCACCACCGGAGATACCGAATGACTCCTACCAACACATTGACCTCACCTTTCATCTCCTGTGACCAGCACGCATTAAACTTAAGTATTAACAAAGTGACTCTTATATTCCTTTAATAATCCAATTCCTCTTATATGAATGAACATTTTTATAACGGACTTTTTGCGTGTGAATCAAGAAAAATTGTACTATTCATTGATGTTGTATTTTAATACAAATTTTTCTGATATACCCTTCTCTTTCGTATGTTATTTTGTTTATGTATGGTGACCTCAAATTGATTGCTTGTTGAACCTTTAGGCCAAACTAGCGGCTGTCCCGAAGGACTGCTACTACTACCTACCTTCTGATAAAGCAACAAGTAACAACGAATCCACTCCCCTCCAACACCATAATATTGTAATATTAGTTTTAGCAATAAGTCATTCAAGTTTATCGGAAAGAATGTCAATCGGTGAATTAAATTACACTGGTTGCTTACTCTGTGCATATCTAGACCTCAAGTGATTTATATGGCTTCTATGTTGAAACTGTCGACCTTCGACAATGCACATCATACTACAAAGGCGTCTAATAATTTTTCCTTCCTGCCAATTGTCCTTTCGGGCCCTAAAGCTTTTAAAGATGACTTTATCACCGATCTTAAATAATCTGGTAGTTTTAAATTGTTGACTTTTCTTTTTATTCCCTGGAAGTAATTTGTCAAAAATGGATCTAACTTCCCTAGCAAACATGAGCTCTGCAGGTGATATTTTCGCGGTGATGTTTGCATTTGACGTCAGTCGATACACGCTCAAAAATTATTGTAGTGACGTCTCTTCAACTACCAAACCTTTAGCTTTTCTTAATGTTTTTTTGAAGATGTCAAGAAACCACCCTGTTTGACGATTCGACCTCGCATAATAAATCGATGTTGTCAAATGTACAACAGCTTAGTCTTTGCAGAAAATGTTAAACTCACTAGAAGTAAATTGAGTTCCATAATCGGATATCACACCGTCAGGTACTCTAAATCCTGACAAAAGTTCGCGTAAGAATTGAATCGTTATAGCGGTAGTAGATCGTTTACCCTTTAATATCTCGGGCCATTTTGTGAAACTGTCGACCACAGTTACATAGTATAAACGGTTTAGGGGTCTAGCAAAGCCCATATGTAATCTTGTCCACGGTTTATCAGTGATCGACTATCCTGATTATTTATTGGTGGTGATTTTACTGCTGAATTACAATTATTACATTTTCTTAATGTATTTTGAATATCTTTGTCCAACTTTGGGTAATAAACGTAGCTTTTAATTAGGAAAATCATCCTCACTATTCCCAGATGTCCTCCGTGGAATTGTTTCAAAATATTTTTTTGTTGTGATAACGGAATTACTACTATTTCCGCGTGAAAAAATACTCCATGACAAATAGAAAATGCTGTATTATTTTTAACAGGTTTAATTTTAGTTTTACACCATTTCGACTTAACATCATTCATAGTTTGTTTTTTTTTTTTTTTTTTTTTTTTTGTTTTTAAATAAACGTAATCCTTTTTGGAATGAATTTTAATATCGTTTATCGTGATCAGCAATTCTTTAATGGTATTATGCGCCAGAATTATATTTCGCTTTCGGATTCCTGTAAAACAATCACAATATCTTCAAAATCTTTTTTACATTTTGATATCACTCTTGTCATGCCATCTGCATGTTTTATTTATTTTTAAAACAGAAATTCCATCTTAAAATTATAGTTCAATAAAATCGCAACTCAACATTGTACTCCGTTCACAGTATGCGTAAGAATCCCTTTATTAGAACCGAAAAGATTTAATAATGGACGATGATCAGCTGAAAGTAAGATTTTTTCCTCATATCATTTTGTGAAATTTCTTTACACCAAAAATTATAGTAAGCTCTTCTTTTTCAATTTGATTGTAGCATTTTTCCGGGTTTGTCAAACTCCTTGAAGTGTGGGTGACCGCTATTAGTGTACCGTCTTCGAATTTATGGCATATTACCTCTGCTATGCCGTATTCGCTCGCGTCCGACGCTACTCTTATTTGTTACTGCCAGTCGTAATGTGTCATCGATAACTCAGAAGTTAGTCATTTTTTTTAAATTCCTTCACAGCTTCTTTGATATTCCGCCGACCAATTCCATTTCGTATTCTTCTTAAATAAATTATTCAGAGATGCTCGCAATGCGTACATCTCTGAGACATAAATATTATAATAATTTTCTATTCTGAGAAATGATTGTAGGGTCAATAAATTTGTTAGGGGAGGCATGTCTTTAATGTTACTTGCCCTAGCAGGATTTGGTCTTCTTCTTTTTCGTCGATTATCTCACCTAAATATTTAATCTATTCATAAAGAACTGATATTTCTGTTCACTGAGTTCGAAACCGTAATCATATAATCTCTGAAATACTCTCTGAATCAGTTTTATGTGCTGTATTTTCGTAGCACTCTTAATAAGTATATCATTTATGTAAGCGACGGCACTGTCTAGTCCAGTCAACATCGTATCCATTATTTGATGGAAAATACCTGAGGCTACTTTTATACCGAAGGATAATCTTCTAAACTTATAGAGTCCTTTATGTGTATAAATAGTCAAAGACTTCTGGCATTCTTCATCCACTTCGATTTGAAGATTTGCCTCAGACAGGTCAATTTTTGAAAAAAAAAATTACCACCATTTAATTTGGTAAATATATTCTCTGGGGATGGTAGGGTATATACATGTGGTTGGAGGCAATCATTCGACCCAGTCGAATCTTATTATTTTTCTTTCTAATGTAAACCACTGACATGGTCCATTCTGAATAATCTATTTTTTCAATAACTTCGCGGTTTTCGAACCTATCAAGTTCGGTGTTAATAAACTCCAGTGCAACAAAGGATATCTTTCTTTTAGACCTAAAAACTGGCATCACATTTTCTTTTAATTTGAAAAACGCCTTTGACTTTGTACATTTTCCCAAGTGCTCTTAGAAAATAGTTGTGAATTTTAGTTTACTCAGTTTTTGAATAATTGTAATCTTTTCCTCTGATGAACAATTGATTTTTCCACAGAATGAATTAATCAGCCAGTTCCATGGTTCAAATAATTTTAGCCAATCGATGCCTCGTAAATTCGAATTGGAATTTTTTAATACGTAACATCTGCTTTTTACTTATACCCGCAAGAGCGATGTAACACGTAATTTTCCCAAGAAAAATTATTTTCTTGCCCGATATTCCTCTTGCAACTTTGTCGGTTTTTTTCAAGTTTGCCAATTCAGTTCCAAGATTGTTCTTCAACTACCATTGTCCAATAAAATCTCACCGTAGCTTTATTCATTTTAACGAATTTTATATTATTTGAACTTATCAGTTTTTTAGCTGGTAAAACTACATTTAACAAGTTATTTTGTGTACTTCTTTTTCGTTTCGACCGGCAGTAGCGTCGATTGTGCCCTGTTTGTTTTGGTGTTTTTTACAATTTAAACATTTTTTTAAAATTTTAAATAGACAGTCCTTTCTGAAATGAAGCATACCACAGCCATACCACATCTATAGGATAAAGTTTGGCAGTATTTTTATTTCGGATTTTTTCTTTTGGTACTGTCTTTTTTCGAACTACTTCTACTCCTTGTTATTTGTTGTGGAGTAATTTTCACAGTGGAGGCTTGTATTTCTAACAAGTCGTTCTAAATTAGGTCCGACGTACAAAACGTTAGGAACTTGGAAAATAAGAGTCAATGGCGCAGCAATCTAGTTGTGATGGTTGGTACTTCAAATGTCCGAATCTCGACTGACGCGCTCAACATCGTTCTGCCAGACTTGCCACTGCTACTCCTACTTATTATCTATGGGAGAGTCCATTACAATAGAATAGGTACCTAACATTATACATGATGATGGTCGTCTTTGAGTATAGAATCCAGAGGTTAACAGTGAATATTTCGAAGACAGTAGGGAAGCGTTGTTCAGGTTAGCAGTGGATATCCCGGTAAAGTAGCAGAGCGTAGTTCAGTAGTTCGTCCTTCTGTTCCTCTTCGCCTGACAAGCTGGCACTGGACATTCGGATAGAGTAAACAAAATGGCCGCCTTTATACACGATGGATTGAATATTCTGTCTTCTAATTGGTTAACCTTCTATTGGTGGACTATAAAGTGAGTATACACAAAAAACTGCAACACTCTTGACTTGTCATGTTTGATTTTCGCTATATCGTGCCTTAAAGTAACAATTTTTGTCACTCTTCCGCAACAGTCTATATCGTTAACTTCGAATCCTGTTCAAGTTTTGTAAAGATTAGAGAGCGTATTTCCACATCATTGCTTGATGTTAGACCTTTAAAGAAGGTTAGACATTTAAATCTGCCTGGGGATAATTCGTCCTATTTAAATTTCTCACAGTCACGGTTGACATTATTGGTATATGTGACAAAATCTTTATCTTCCTTATTAGTAAGATTCATGCACTGCCAACGTGTATAAAAAAAAGTGAATTTTTTCACGAAAAATTTTTGATAATATCGACACTTTCGTTAAATGACACTTTTTCTGGTGTTTTCGGGAAAAATAAAATTCCGATATTTTTCATGCTCAGCGTGGCACAATTTTCGTAACAGAAGACGCACTTTCTTTTGATCTGACAATCCTTGATATTCTTCTCTGAAAATGGCCACGTAACTTCTGAAGTACGATAGGAATGTAATTCTGGGATGTAATTGAATTCACTAATTGAATTAGCAACTGTACCTTGCTTTTCTAGGATTCCCTTCAACTGTTCTCGATATTCATTCCACTCCCGCTGTATTTGTTGTAATAGTTGCTGAAAAATTTTCTTCAATTCTTCCATAGTGTATTATTTTCATACAAGTTGTCCTTAACTATGAAGAAAAAGTTTTTCTTAATAGAAGTGCCATACACCCTTGGAATTTATTGACTTCCGCGTCGCCTTATGTATATACAAGAAATTGTTTTCCGTGAAAGATTCGTGAACTGTTATGCCTTCATTCCATTGAACGAAGATACCACAATCATGAAATATAATGTCGCTTGTAGTCTTACTGAATTCTGTAGTAAGGATATAAGGCTCGCTTCCGGCTAGCTCTCTGCTGACGCTGTTCGGTGTCAGTATCTATGCTATTTGGACGAGTCCAAGTCATATTCTGGAATGGTGTGTTCATCTCCACAACAAATTGATATAAGTCCTCCATTCCAATTCAGTCTCTTCATAGCTCTCTTCGTCTTTGTTTTTAATCATTTCACCGATAGCAAGTAGATAATACGCTTAAAACGCAAAGGATTATTGGAAGAGAAAGAGAACGAGACGGTATTACTGAGGAGAAAGGACAGGACTCAAGGAAGATAGAAGTGGGCGATTTATATTGCATTTAAATATTTGAAGGCCGTAGGTGACAGAGAAGCAAGGAATCGAAAGGGATTTCCACACGTGAGAAGTGCGAGAAAAGAAACTATTAGAATAGGACTTACGGTTCCATCCAGATATTTCAAAAGTAAATGGTTTTAGTTGCCAATCCAGTTGTACGCTTAAATGCATGCAGTCGACGTACCAAGGAGGAGAGCTGATAAGAACAACCGCCATGAAAATATTTAAAGAACTACGCGTCACGGCGGTGCGAAAGTGAGTGATGTCGAGCTTGCTTTAAATACGGAGTATTCCGAACATTTTATCACTTCACTAATAAATTTCTCCAATGGCAGACATTCTCTCTCTCCCTCACTCTCCTCCCCCCCCTCCTCTCCTTTCCTCCCCCTCCCCTTCCTCACTCTCCCCCTCAATATCCATCTCTCTACCTCCCCCTCTCCTCCCTCTCTCTCCCTTACTCTCCCCCTCTCCTACCCCAATCTTCCTCGCTCTCCCCCTCTCTCTCCAGACATCTGATCTATGTATTCAACTATGTATCTAACTACAGCGACCTTTATCTATCTATCTATCTATCTATCTATCTATCTAGATCTCTCTCTCTCTCTCTCTCTCACACACACACACACACACACACACACACACACACACACACACACACACATACACACACATATACACTCTCTCCCTCCGGACTCCTGATCTGTGTATTCATCTATTTATCGAACTACAGCGACCTTCATCTATCTATCTATCTATCTATCTATCTATCTATCTATCTATCTATCTATCTATCTCTTACACACACACACTTCCTCTCTCCCGACACCTGATCTATGTATTCAACTATGTATCTAACTACAGCGACCTTTATCTATCTATCTATCTATCTATCTATCTATCTATCTATCTATATCTATCTATCTATCTCTCTAGAGATCTCTCACACACACACACACACACACACACACACACACACACACACATATACACACTCTCTCCCTCCGGACTCCTGATTTTTTTATTCATCTATTTATCGAACTACAGCGACCTTCATCTATCTATCTATCTATCTATCTATCTATCTATCTATCTCTTACACACACACACTTCCTCTCTCCCGACACCTGATCTATGTATTCATCTATGTGCGCCCTTTATCTCACTCTCTTTTCACACACCCACTCAATTTCTCTCTCTTTCTCTCTGTGTCCGAAATATGATCTGTGTATTTATCTATGGATCTAACTACAGCGACCTTTATATATCTCCATCTCTCTCTCTCTCTCTCTCTCTCACACACACACACACACACACACACAGAGAGACAAGTACACACTCTCTCCCTCTCGACGCCTGATCTGTGTATTCATCTATTTATCTAACTACAGCGACCTTCATCTATCTACCTCTCTCCCCACACACACTCTATCTCTTCCCACACACACACACACACACACACACACACACACACACACTCCTCTTTCTCCCTCCTGACACCTGATCTACGTATTCACCTAACTTAACACTACTCTCATTTTTCTTGATCTAAATAAAAACTATTTTCTCTGTAAATCACTCGGCTGTTTCTCGCTCACTATATCACTGCCCACTCTATTCTGTCACTCTGTCTCCTTAGCTGCATTTTTGAGCACACGTCTCCCATGTCCCCCTTTTGTTCATATAACTAAAGTATAATTATGGAAACTAAACATTTCAGTGAAAAATTTCCAAGGAAAATACTGACTTTAAGGCAAATGGTCCCAGTTTATAAGGGAGAAAAGATTGCGCCATTTTAAACTGACGTCAGGAAGACATGGTTTACAAGCTGCCACGGTGTGTTTTCGAATCCCTCGAGTAATTGCTGAGTTGTGATGCTCTTTGCAGACGAGCTGTCTAAAACACAACGGTCTACGGTGGATTTCCTACAATGGTAGATGCGTGTAGGAACCCAGCTTAAGAGCGGATTTGCAAGTTTTCTTAAGTGTAATTTGGAATGAAAATAATAGAAAGAAAGAAAACGAGAAAGAAAAAAAAAACAAAAAGAAACTTGTTCGTGAATGAACATTAAAATAAATAATCGCCAATGAATAAAGAAGAAAGAATTAAATATAATCCTTAATGAATATCAAAGAAAGAAAATCGAAAATTAGAATGATCACATACATCAATAATGCGATTATTTAAGAAAAACATCTAAACATATTTACATTAACGATGAAGAAAAAAAGTATAAATTCTACAGATGGTTTTTTGGAATGGACATTAATTTCCTGAAGGACTTCTCTGAAATTCTTCTCTTCGTAACAAGAGAGAAGATTGATTCCATGACCCAAAATAGGACAGTCAATGCGCGAAAGAGGAATGCAAAGGTTTTGGGTTATTGCCCGGAAGTCAAGTATCAAATGTCTTCGTAAAGTAAAGAAAGAAAGAATAAAGAGACTATGAAACTATTATTTTTTTTTTATTCCTGAGCGAAAGAATTTGAGATTCTGGACTAAAAATCTACTTTAACGTTTCATCCAATGCTCCGTACATATAAGGTCACGGTGAGCTGCTGGTGGAATATGGAAAGTTTTGTTTATTACGAATTCTTAAAATAAAGACATTCATAGCATATCTTTATTGTCAAGAACAAGTGAAAGATAAAAATGTATGTAAAATAAGCTCTTAGGAAACAAATATATTACACTACGGAATAACAATATGAACGTATGATATAATGGAATATGCGTCTACCTGTGTTCCCCTTACTGGAATATGATTGACTGGTGTCAATACGTGTAGGCGAGTCAAGAGCCTTAGTCTGAGAGCTAAGTCTATAATGACGCCTATTGGACTACGACATTGATCTACACTCCTTACCTGCGACTACGACGCGTACTAGTCGATTACTGTTACCGTATTCTACTTGGTTATAGTAGCCAAAACCACTTAGATACTTCTTTCAAATATATCCCTTTCCGGGACATATCAACATAAAATCACTAAGATTACACCAGAAGATAATATCTTAAATTTAAAGATCCCGCCTTAGTATCCCTGTTCCTAGTTCTCAAATATACACCCTTGTGCAAATTAATTATGCAGGAAGATGTGGAGAGCCATGGTCACCTACACCCTTGTGCAAATAAATTGAAACAAAACGAATAAATCCGTTATTATTTTATTAATTTTTCCAATGAAACATGACCCAGTTAGTACAGTCTACCCCAGAAGGCCGGAGCGTACAATGGCCAAAACGTTGTAATAAATATGGCGACAAAGATGAGGACAATAGTCCGAATAATGTAAATAGTGTATTAAGAACTATATGAAAGGATTTATATTGCATAGCATTTTAACACTCATTTATTTCTTAATATATTCTCCTGTCTGTTAATACTTTGTTTAGCTTTTGAAAAGTGTCTTTCGCTGGTCCAATGCGGCTTTAGTTCGAAGATTTAATAGTATATAATAGTGTCCTCCACTAAAAAAAAGTCCTGGATATGAAGTTGTTCTGTTGGACAATTATTATCGAAACTCTAGACTAACTCTATAATATTATTATTACATTAACAATAAAACCCACTTTACAAAAAATTATTTCCAGAAATGAAGAATGATAAATTCAAAGCAAAAAGAATTGTTTTTTTTTAAATTTTGAAAAGACGGCGTAAAAAAAAAAATGGCATTGTAATAAAAGATTCAGAAACTGAAAATTTAAAATCTTAAAGCGAAAAAATATGTTTTTGCAATGCTAAATGAAGAATAAAACTGCTAACTAATCAATATTATCGAGTCGACTTTTTCTATTCTATAGGGCGATTGAGAAGTAACTCCCTATTTGATGTATCAGTGGCCTGTCAGGAGTGCTGACTTAAAACCTTGTGACATTTTTCTTTGGGGTTGATTAAAGGAACAATTCTACTATTATACTAAATCAAGACTTTGGAAGAACTTGATGGGCGAATAAAATAAATTACGTCTTCCATAGCATAAGAATACCTGGTGAAATCAGCAGACGTGATTCCTGGGTGGTTCGAGAAGCTGGTAGCTAAATCTGGTGCCCATATCGAATTTTAAGTAAAACCTCATGCTAAACGCTTTCCTCTCATATCCATTTCTTGAAAAAATATAGTTAATAAATAAATTATATGTATATTAACACTAGGATGGCCGAGGGGTCGTTTTCGACACCTTCAAATATTCAACAAATTCCTATGGAATAACTAGTTTTGGTTCGATTCTGAGGCTTATGGACAATTATTGAATTTTAGCAAAGATGCTTAACAGACTTAATTCTTTAAAAAATATTTAGTGAAATAGCTGATATTTGAGGTTTTACCTTGAATAGCCGAGGTGTCGTTTTTGACACCTAGGCTATTTATAGGGTAAATGCATTGAAAAATTTCTCACAAGTAATAATACTTGTATTTATGCCCCCTATCTTACTATTTATCTATCTATCTATACACACACACATAATTTATATATATATATATATATATATATATATATATATATATATAATATATATATTTAAAGATATTTTTGTAGGTACAAAATTTAATGATTGAAATAAAAGTATAAAACTTAATATTACGAGACATATTAAAAAAAAAATTATGCAAAAGGAACTAGAGACTAATGACAGCGAGTCCCAACAAACATATATATATATATATAATCACTTTCTTTCAGGATGAGGTATACTAATATTTGTGAATTTCTTTTCAGACTTGTTATTCCTGACTTGAGTATTGAATATATTAGAGATGGCTGCTTCACGGCGTAATGGAAATAAAGATGTCAAAGGAGGTGGCCATCTTAGTGTTAAAATTGGGAGTTACTTTTCAATCACTCTGTGTATCTCTTCCGGACATGTGCGAACATGGTTCGAAACACTTTTTTTTTTTTTCGTATTCAACAATACTATATCGCTGGCTATTCGTTCAAACATGTTAAGCATATCATGCGTTGTTTTCCTTTATTTTTCTTACTTTCGATAATCTTTGTGAATGTTATATTTTCTAAGCTTCCTTTCCTTCATATGTCTTCCAAAAATTGCAACACTGTGTTAGCAGCGGTTTTAAAGGAAAAAAACATCAATTGTAAAAAACAGGATCTATGGCTGTCAGCAAGAGAAAAAAAGGCCAAGAAGTGAATCAAGTAGAGAAGTTTAAATATCTGGGTAGTCTTTTAACAGAGGACGGAAAATTGTGGCACAGAAATCCGAAGTCGAATTGAAACAACGAGTAACCTAACTAACAGGCTTGTATAAACAGAGAGAAGAAAAAGGAATTGGATGGATAGCAAAGAGCTGCAAAGGACAGGAAAATGTGGAGAGGCATAATCGCCTACGTCCTGAAGGGACACGGCATACGAAGATTATCTTTCAAACTTATTCATTGTCACATGCACTGACTTTGATATTAGCAAAATTCGTTGGTAAAATTTGATTCTTGAAGGAAAAAATATTACCATCAATACCTTTTTGAAGCAAAAAATATTACCAGAAATAGATTTTTGACAAAACAAAATATTACCAGGAAAAATAATTGTCGGCATTAAATAAACCCATTGAGGTGGATATGCCGTAAAACAAACGAAAACGAAACGAAACCAAACCAAACTTTCTTATCGTTTCTTTCTTTCCTTCTTTCTTGCTTTCTTTCTCTTTTGTTTTGTTATATTGACTATAAAAGATCATCTAAATTGAGCAAATTGAGTTTAATCATGAAACATCTTCAGGAAACATATATATATATATATATATATATATATATATATATATATATATATATATATACACACACACACACACACACACACACACACACACACACACACACACACACTGAACAATAAAAAAATTAAAATCTTTAGACACACTGGGTTGTAGATTAATATTATTTCGTTTTTATTGTTATTATTTCATTTAGATTCCTCGACTAGTTTCGGCCCAAAAATGGCCATCATCGGGTGGAGAAATACAGAAAATTATTAGTTGAATATTAGTGTTCAATATATATATATATATATAATTCATCGAGTCTGATAGAAACCTCCACAGAATGCAGAAAGCACTGGACGGCCGTTTCGTCCTATATTTGGGACTCATCAGAATTGAAACCCTGACAGTTGGGTTCTCAAGCGAACATCATACCAACTGTTCCAAGTGGGCCTCGGTGACGAAGAGATTGCAAACCAGACTCGACAAAGCGCCGCTCGCTCACATATTCCGTGGCGGAACTCGACTGAGATTCACTATTACCATAAGACTGTGCCCCCTGGAGCCACGACTACTCTCACCAAGCCGCTACCTACTGTAGCGTTAGAAGCCGGTTCAAGCGATGATGAAGACAAACAGTAATTATT